GTATTTTAGGCCCGTGCACCCGGCTTCGTGAAGGTCACTGCCGACGGCTGCAGTGACGGAGTAGCTTCGTTTTTAAGTATTTTATCCACATTTCTTTCGTTTTCATAATCAAAGCAAAGTGTTGTCTAATGTCGAGCGAACAAACTTTATGTAGCAATGTAACTAAAATAATGCACTTTTAACGGAGCAAGAACAAGTAGTTTTTCACTAATGATTAAAGCATATATGTATACATGTATAAATATATATATATATATATATATATATATATATATATATATATATATAAACACGTATATGTATGTGTATGTATGAGTATACTCTGACATATATACATATATTCATGTGTGTGTAAATATCTTACAAATGTATATATATTCACACACACGTGTGTGTGGATATATATAAATTATATGCATATGTATATTTATATATATACATTTACATACACACATATATATGTATCTGTATATATATATGAATATATATATACATATATACATATTAATACATATATGAATATATATATATACATATATACATATGAATACATATATGTATAAATATAAACATATATATGTGAATGAAAATATGAATTTACATAAATACATATATGAATTTATATAAATACATATAAACATTTATCATCATCATAAGGGGGCATACGCATGGCTGCGCTTTGCCGCGCCCAACCTTTGCCTCCATCTCCTGGGGTCCCTCCGAGTGAGCCTCCATGCAGCATTCCTTCCCACTCCCAGTACATCTTGGCAGATCTGATCGACTTGCTTCAGCCATGAGTTCCGTGGCCTTCCCCTTAGTCTTCTCCAGCCTGGGTCAACCCTCTTGGAGATGACCCTATGAGCCGGATCTTCCTCAGGGAAACGAGCCACATGTCCATAGAGCTGAAGTTGGCGCTCTCGTATCAGACTGGTAATAGGTCTTGAATCAGTCTCATGGAGTATCCTCTGATTGGACACATGGTCCCTCCAGGTATACACCATGATTCTGCGAAGACACTTAGTACCGAAGGAGTTAAGACGGGCTTTCAGAGCACTGTTCAGTGTCCAGGTCTCACACCCGTAGAGTAAGACCGGGATCACCAGTGCTCTGAAGAGCCTGATCTTAGTTCTCCTAGTCAAACACCGACAACGCCAAATACTCCTATTGAGTGAGTCCATAACGCCGTAGGCCAGTCCGAGTCGTCGAGTGACTTCCCGGTCGGAACCTCCGTTGCTCTGCACTACACTACCAAGATAAGTGAAGCTATCCAAGACCTCAATGTTCTCGCCACAGGCATGCACAGACTGAGCATCGACATCCAAAAAGTCCCCAAATTCCTGAACCTTGGTCTTGGTCCAGTTGACCGCGAGTCCCAATGGCTTTGCCTCCTCATGCAGCGCCTCGAGAGCTACTTCCAGGACCTCTAATGTCTCCGCTAGAATCACTGCATCATCGGCAAAGTCAAGGTCTATGACCTTGAAATTACCAATTGATGCCCCACAGGAACTACGGTTCACGGTACGGCAAAGTATCCAGTCCATACAAGTGTTGAAAAGGGTTGGGGCCAGGACACATCCCTGTCTCACCCCGGCAGACACCGGGAAGAAGGCAGAGATGCCCTCCCCACACTTGACAGCACTCTCAGTGTCTGTATACAGGCCAGACAGCAAACCAATAATTCCAGGGGGGATCCCACGGAGACCCAGTAGGCTCCAGAGACTCTCCCGGTGCACTGAGTCGAAAGCCTTCTTGAGATCAACATAAGCTGCAAGCATACCCTGTTGAAACTCAAGTCGGCGTTCCACAAGGACACGAAGTGCTAAGACACGGTCTATAGTTGACTTCTTGGGTGTAAAACCAGACTGTTCAGGTCTCTGTGCTCATAATAGGTGGTCGCGCACTCGTGCCAGAAGCAGATGAGCGAGGACCTTGCCTGGTACGCTGAGCAATGTAATACCTCTGTAGTTGCCACAGTCCTTTTGGTCCCCTTTCCCTTTCCAGATAGGGATGACCAAGCCCCTTTTCCAGTCAGGGGGAATGGTACCAGCCTCCCAAACGGCAGACAGGACTGCATGCAAACCACAGATCATGGCTTCTCCACCCGCCTTCAACAACTCTGCAGCAATCCCACAGACACCAGCAGCCTTTCCACTTTTCAGCTTAGACACTGCCCTTCTCACTTCTTCGATGGAAGGTGGTGCCTCACTGATTGGTGGATCAGCCACTAGTGGCTGTGTGCCAGCCACCAGGCTCTGACACAATGCGACCATCCTCTGCTCTCACTGAGCCTGATTGAGAGATGGACTTTGATCAGAGTTCCCTCAGGGCTCGGAAAGCAAGTCGAAGGTCATTTTGGGCAAAATGACCTTCCAACTCTTCCACGATGCCCCTAACGTACCTCTTTTGGTCCACTCTCAAAGAGGCCCTAGCAGAGTGAGACAGCTCCCTGTGCAAGACATGGTTCCCATCCAGTCTGGCAGCACGACTCATCTCTATAGTGTTCAGTGTCTCGTCTGAGACAACACACCTCCTTCGCCGAGGTCGGACACCAAGGCACTCCTCGGCAGCTGACAGAGTTCCTCGCTTAAAGGTATCCCACAGTTCAGCAGGGTCCTGTAGAGTACAAAGCACTTCAAGCCGATTTGAGACTGCCACTGCATACTCCTGAGCCACCTCCTCACTCTTGAGCCTCTCGAGATGGAACACCTGCTGGTGAGATCTCGGGATGCGTCTAGATCTGAGGCAGAGCCTTAGTGTTGCGACAACAAGTCTGTGGTCGGTAGCAAAGAACTCAGCACTCCTAAAAACTCTACAGTTCTGAAGGATCTTCCAACGAGTATCCACGAGAATATGGTCGATCTCTTTAGCTACAACGCCAGTATTGGAGTACCAAGTCCAGCGGTGTAGATCTCGTCTCTGGTACCATGAGCCCGCAATCCTCAGTCTCCTAGATCTTGCGAAGTCTAAGAGGTATGAGCTATTGATGTTCCTAGTACCAGAGCCATAGGGACCGATGCATAGCTCGTATCCTTCCCTGTCAGTGCCAGTGACTGCATTGAAGTCCCCCAAGACCATGAGGGTGTCCCCCCGGGGACATTGATCCACTATAGAGTCAAGTTTGGTATAGAACATCTCTTTCTCTTCAAGCCCACTTCCCTCAGTAGGAGCGTAAACTGCAATTAGAGATATGAAGCCCAAAGTGTGCTTCATTCTCACAAGCAGAATACGCTCGTCAACAGGGGTAACCTTCTTCACTGAGGAACGGAAGCGGTCAGAGACAGCCACCGCGCACCATTGCTACAGCCAGACCAGTGGTAGGTATAACCCCCACTACTGGTCTCACCACAACCAGGCCGTCGCACCTCAGAGAGAGCAGCGATGGCAATCCCCAGCCTCCCCAGCTCCCCCGACAACAAAGGCAGTCGATCATCCTCCGAGAAACTGAGGATGTTCCAGGCCGCTACACGGCACGCTCGCCGCAGATTGACCCCATTTGTGGGCCACCGGCAGGGCAACGGCTCGGCACAACCATATATATATATGAATATATATATATATACATATATATATTCATATATATATATATATATATATATATAAATATATACATATATACGTTCATATATATATTTACATGCACACACTCATATATACATATATATATATGTACATGTGTATACATATGTAAATTATCATGTATATGTAGTACATATATATGTATATAAACACGCACGCACATTATATATATATATATATATATATATATATATATATATATATATGTATATATATATATATGAAATGCATATACATAAAGGTGATAATGTATTTATGTAACACATATGTATAAATGTACATATACATGTATGTATAAATATATATGTGTGTGTTTGTGTAGGCATAAATCCACACCAAAACCATATCTCAAACTGTCAGTCTCACCTATAACACTGCAGGGAATGTCTGAAGGCACACACAGATTCGGCATTTGCGTGCACCTTTTCGTCCCCGGCAGGCACGCCACATTGCTGCCTTGGCCCAGCCCGGGGATGGAGCCTCCAGCGCCTCCCTCTGTCACGAAGGGCTTGCTCTGTGTGGATGGAAAGAAGGGGGAGGTGATGCTGTTAACGGTATGGATCAATAGTGAAATCATTGTGAGGTGGAGTTTCGTTTTCAACAGAGTATAATTTTGTCTTCAACATTCGTTAGTTGAAATGATGTAATTACTAAAGCGAACATTTACCAAAGTCTTTGAATACTTACATGGCAGCCTTTATTATCTGCATTCGCTCTACAAAAGGCGTTGAGAAATGTCTGAACATCCGTCTGGCTATGCACGTACGCAGCGTCTGGAAAAGGCAGATTTTAAGGCTACTGGCTGGAGATAGAGAGGGGGTGGGGATGGGGGGGGAGATGAATAGCGAGAAAGGAGATAGAATGAGGAGTCGGGGGATAAAAAGGCGAGAGGAGATTGGTTGGAGATAGAGAGAGAGAGAGAAAAATGAAAATAGGACGGATGTGTAAAGATAAGTTGGCAGGTAAAATAAGTAAGAAATAAAGAAGCCTAAAGAGGCGAGGGGAAATTAATTGGAGAGAATGAGAGAGATAGAGAGAGGGGAGAGTGAGGATGACAGAAAGAGAGAGAGAGAGAGATGAAAACAGGACGGATATGAAGAGATAAGTTGGCAGGCAAATTAAGTAACAAATAAAGAGGCCTGATTCTTAAACCAGTGACGATGTTCTTCTTCTTATAGGCCCGTGCACCCGGCTTCGTGAAGGTCACTGACGGCTGCAGTGACGGAGTAGCTCCGTTTATGGATATTTCATCCACATTTTTTTCGTCTTCATAATCAGAGCAAAGTGTTGTCTAATGTCGAGTAAGCAAACATTATGCAGCAATGTAACTAAAATAATGCACTTTTAAAAGCAAGAAGAAGTAGTTTTTTACTAATAACTAAGATACATACATACATATATATATATATATATATATATATATA